TATATATATATATAAACTTTTTTCCACTCTAAAGAATCTTTTCTGCAATGTAAATATTTCATGGATATTAAAGGTTCTTCATGAAACCGTTGCTTTCAAAAAAGAACCTTTTATTTTAAGAGTGTATAAAACCTTTTTTGTGCATTTTTAATCTAATTTTGATAGTTTTGTTATTCATACTACACATTGTTGGAGCAGTATGGTATTCCGAACATATAACATGTCCATTTTCTCACCCAACACCAAAGTGCACGTCTTCAGACCTAATAATTTTGTCAAGGTGCTTTCATGCTTGTTTGGTCTCAACACAGAGTGTTTTATATATATTATGTATATATATATGTTATATATATAATATGTATTTTCCATTAGAATGACTGTATTTATTATGGAAATTATATACTTAAGTGTGAACTGAATGTAATGTTTTCGGACACTGTTGCAATTTAGTACATTTAAAATTTGAACGACAAACTGCTAGTATAATCAAGTACTTTACATATGTTTTAGTATGTTAGCCAGCACATCAAAATAAGTGTACAACAGTTAAATTGTTAAATTTAAGATGATAATTTTTGGAAATATACTTTAAAACTTTAAATTTGATATCACAAGTGCACTTTTACAAAGTCTATAAGGCACTTAGCCATGAAAGAGTGCTCTTTAAGTACACACAAGCAGCCTTTTATTAATATTATCTGTAAGTACACTACAAGTGCACATTCAATGCAAAGTCCATTTCTTTTTCAGAAGTGTGTTCATAATGAGGGTCTCCTGTGTTGAGCCTGAAGTGTGTGTGAGCGTGTGTTTCCTGTGATGTACACACACAGGTCCGTGAGGGCCAGTGGGTGGCGGAGAGCTGTGTTTATGTTCACATTCCTTCTTGGGCTCATTGCGGTAATGACGCAGATATCTTGTGGCATGTTGTCAGGCAGGTGTTGTGATGTTGTGACCGGGAGATGGGATGCCGAATCTGCAGAATAGAAGAGGGATATTGTGGTAATGCAGCTGAAAAACAAAAACAAGCAACACACACAAATCTGCCACACATACGCTGGTTTCGTTCTGCCTAAAAACAGCCACGCGCCGAGACTAGTTTGGCTGAACCTTCGGTCCAAAATACACTAAACCTAACAAAGCACCCTGGTTAATTCCATTCGTGACAGCTCTACAAACAACATTCCAGCGGCCATACCAGCATTCAGTCTGCCGCAGTATTCAGGGATTCAGAGGTGACCTGCGTACTGGCAGCCCACATTCCCTGCGTTCTGGTGTGCCTGCTTGCATTAGTGTGCTGCATGCAATCCCATAATTCTGTACCGCACATACTGACACGTTCCTCAACTCTCTCTTCCTCAGGATCGCTCCAGGATGTATGACAGCTTGAACATGCACTCGTTGGAGAGCTCCCTGATCGACATCATGAGGGCGGAGCAGGACCCTCTGAAGGGTAAGATCCATTTCCTGTCGCCATGAGAGTCTCATAAGGCTTTTAAAGACAGAATACATGTTCAGTACGGAAGTTGAGGACCGATTTCACGATATATGGCTCATGTTATGATTTAGCTTATTTTCTTTACTTTTTGATTGATGGAAATAAAAAGGGTATAATTGAGAAGGCTGTGTTGAGCTTTGCGACGGCCACTGTTGGTTCTAGATGTTTCTATATATCTAAAAGTGGGGTTATAAAACAGATATTTGGGCTCTAAAATCTGATCAGATGACATTCATAGAGGTTGTAAAATAGCCAGTGTGCACACACCTGTGAACACACAGTAGTTAAAGGTGCACTAAGCGATATTTGCCAAATGATGTTGATATTTAAAAGCAGCAAAACAAACACGCCCATACCCCAACAGGACCTCGCCCTTATTTTGATAACTCCGCCCCACACATACGTACACAATCCTGGCAGCGACGATGGCAGAATCTGCTATGCTTGCCGACCGTAGCATATTCAAGCAAAAGCCAACACAGATAAGTTTTGTGAAACAAAGCAAGATCAACACAACTCACCTATCAAGAAGAAACAAAGCAACCTCGGCGTCTGATTCCAGGCCTTCCCGCTCCATGAGCTTCTCCACCGCTGGAAAGCTGCACCAATATTTACACGGGTCCTACCTCTTGCCTGATCGTAACCCTTCTTTTTAATGTTTTGTTCCTCTGAAATGTTCCTATTTTTTTATCTGCCATCTCTCGCTATCTATAGTCGATCTGCTGATATCCGTCCTGTGCACTCACTGAGTGCTCTCTTCTCCCGATCATTACTAGACACGCCCCTTACTGCTGATTGGCTGCGAGTGTGTTTTGGGACCGACACTGTGGTCAAAAGCGTTTTTCAAAAATCGCTTAGTGCACCTTTAAATTAACATAATAATGCACAAACGTGTTGCATCTTTCATTTTTTGTCTTGTAACAGTTCTTTATTCATAAATTAATCTAACTTAAGCAATAAGCTACCTGTGGCTGTGTGAAATAGTGAGTTTGCCATGGTGAATGTCAGTATGAAATCACAGTTTTATTTTGTTCCCTACTTATTGTGCAGTATTCAACATATCATTACTCCAAATATCTTTCAAATATTTAATCAAGATTGAACTCTTGTGGAAAAAGTACACTTTAGCATATATTAAAAAAAAGTACTTATTACAAAAATAATAGACTTTAAAAATAGACTTAAGTATGAACTGAATGTAATGTTTTCCGACACACAATTGCATGTTAATTGTTGTTTAAATTTATATTAAATGCAATTAGGTGAACTTTTTGACCCCGTGAAGTAAGACTTAAGTACATCTTTATATGTAATTTCATAAATACTTCTATTGTCTTTGAAATATGGTTAAAGTGAAGTGCTGAATGTACTGACAAGCATTTATGCTAAACTAAAATTTACTTTAGTGTAATTTTTATTGATACTTGTGTGTCATATATTTAAATATATTTATAATTACACATTTGTAATGCTCCGGTTGCAATTGACTACATTTAATATATTTTATAACTTTAAATGTATGTAAAATAACACAACGATTAAATTATAATCAATTACTTTACATGTGCTTTGGTATGTTAGTCAACACATCAAAACAAGTGTACTTCTTTAAAGCACAACAAAAGATTCTTGAAACATAATGATTTAAAATGTACTTTATTTCAAAGTGCACATTTTAAAAGTGTGCTTAAGTGTGTTAAACAGTCATGAAAGTGTCTCTCTTCAAGTACATTTTAATGGGCTTTTATTTCATTAATTATATTATCTATGCATACAGTTTTTTTTTTAAATATACTTTTATAAAATATTCTACAAGTGCACATTCAATACACTTTAGTGCACTTCTTTGCTAGGCCTCTGAAATGACTTTTCCTTCATCACAAATCTCGCGTAGTTTCCAGCCCTTCCCTTCAACCTCCTCCGTATATTTTGTTATCTTACACCCACTTTTCCCCATTAAGTGAATTCTCAGTGGATACGATCAAGTCCCTTAGCATTTTATGTTGAAGGTTTCAAGTACTCCATGCTCTAGGGCTGCACAATTAATCAAATTTCAAAGCACGATTACAATTACGGATGCCACAATTACGTAATCGTTCAAATTCCACTTATGTTATTCTGCATGCTTAAGATGTGTTTTTTTTTTCTACAGGTTATGTTTTAAGGGTTTTAATTCTAGTTTTAATATAACATTATAATATGCATATTTTTTTGCTTTTTTATTTAAATTAGAAACCATTATGATTTTTGTCATAATCGTGCAGCCCTACAGTATGCTCCATGGTAAAATCACTGTAATGCACTGTCTGTCGTGGCCTTTTGCTTTATTTAAACCCAAGTATCGTTCAGTGGGAGCTGTTTTTGTGTTGAGCGGTGTGTCTCTGTGTCATAGGAGGGCAGAGAGGTGCGTGTGGTGCTGTGATCAGGGTGTGGCACTGCGCTACACTCACTCTCTGTCTGCTTCTCTCACTGGAGCTTCTCGCTCAGCCTGCTGGAGCAGATGGACCAGACACATGGGGCGGCACCTACTGCAGAGACCGAGAGAGAGAGAGAGGGAGAGGGAGAGGGAAGGGTGTGGGTACGGCCTATATTTAGCGCAGGACACACTCTGCCATCCTGTGTTTGACAGATAAAGGACAGGAGAGTGAGTGAGGGTCTCTATGGTTTACACAGGCCCTGCTTTAAAGTCAACATGAAACCTTATTTATGTTAACACTTGATCGTGCATGATTTATAATGCAGCCGTTCTAAATTATTGCCTCAGTTGACACTATAATTTAATGCTGGTTACTGTTAATGTAATAAAGGTTACAGCAATAACAGCAAATAACAATATATAATAAAAATTGTATAATTTGGAAAGACCGGGATGCTCTGGAATATTCTGTTTCAGTCAGGAAGTATGGAAGTAATATAACTTTCTAATGACATTTCATGTTGACTTTAATCTGTAAATTATGGGGTTAATAGTACAAAACAACCAGATTATGATCTAAATGTTTTATTAGCTAAGCTACCTGTGCTTTAGCTTTTCAAACATGCTGTCGTGCGCTTAATCGAACAGATCATGGGAGATGTCCTGAGCGAACCACTCCTAAGAAACCTGCTTAATAAACGACGGCTCGGTTAATGGGTCGTCACGAGCGGTTGCCGGCATCAGGGAATGTGCTGACACCAGCTAAAGCACTCAAAACAACACAATGCTGTTGAAATATTAAACACTTGGCAGACTTGGCTTGTGATGCTGTTGTGTGTAATCAAAAAAGCAGATGAAATGAAACAATAGTTTGATTCACTGTGGATAGACGACAGGAGCTCTGTGAAACATTGTAATGTCTCTAGGAGCGTCCACGTTTAATAATCGGACAACAGATGGTGTGTGTGTGTGTGTGTGTGTGTGTGTGTGTGTTTTTGTGTTTGCCGGCATCAGGGAATGTGCTGACACCAGCTAAAGCACTCAAAACAACACAATGCTGTTGAAATATTAAACACTTGGCAGACTTGGCTTGTGATGCTGTTGTGTGTAATCAAAAAAGCAGATGAAATGAAACAATAGTTTGATTCACTGTGGATAGACGACAGGAGCTCTGTGAAACATTGTAATGTCTCTAGGAGCGTCCACGTTTAATAATCGGACAACAGATGGTGTGTGTGTGTGTGTGTGTGTGTGTGTGTGTGTGTTTGTGTGTGTTAAGAGGACTTGGAAGAATTACAGCTGATTCTCTGTGTACCTGGATGATTTCTAAAAAATCTGTCAGACAAGATTATGGATAAATCTCAGGACAGCATGTGCAGGTTTTCACATTTGACCCCAAAATCAAACAGAAAAAAAAGAGAATTTATATTTAGCATACAAAAAAAAAAAAAAAATTAAGCCCTGCAGCCCTTGCAATTTCAACAAAATCTAATCTATGGGTGACAAATCAGCAGAATTTGCAACAACAATGTGTAATGCATCACAGAAAACCAAACATTTATATTTGCCCTTCCCTCTATCTGACGGGGCCCCTCGCTCTGGCTGGGCCCTTCATCCTAACCATCCCCCTTGTTACAGAGCCCCTGACAAACACAGATGCAAAGTGAATTTTTCTATGTCTTAAGTGCTCACGGTTCTAACTGGGATGTGTTATGTGACAGAGCTTCAGAGATTTGACGCTCTGTGTTTGCATGTGTCATGTGACCGGGGTCAGACGTAAGGGTGACCTAGTAACACAGCAAAGCTAGTTCATCATTTCTAGAAACATTCCTCATGAGGGACAAGGGTTCCCTTTCAAAACCCACTGAGTCTCTTTGTTGTCCTCTGCTTTATCAGGCAGAATCCCAATGGAAATAGAACTTCTTAAGGCCTGTTTATGTAAATTATAACTATAACAATAACTATATTAGCATCCATATCAGCACACAACCTCATTCTGTTTATTATAAGCACACACTGCAGTTTTGTCGTTTACAGCTTTAAATGCTCAGTATCTTTTAATTCTGGGGGATTCTGATTGCTTGATTCTGATTGGTGTTTTTATCATTCATTAGTTGGAAAAAAAGCCGTTCTGAAAGTGATTCAATTAACATGTTGCTAAGCCAATGATATGATGTTTAATAAAACGCTACCAGAAATGCAAAGGTTGTTAGCTGGTCTGTTCCAGTGAGCTTGTAGCAGTGCAATCTGGGATCTAGATGCTTACAAATGCTCCCTACATAGGCAGCTTTGTAGGTTTTGTAACACTGGCATGTGGCTGTATGTTTCATACTGCTCTCTCTCTCTGTCTCCCTCTCTCATGTTCAGGCCGTGTGGGATGCCCCCACCCAGGCACTGACAGCCTACTCATGCTCAATGGTAATTATGACAGTGAGCTACAGTTTATTTTTTCTTTTCTTCTGTCTGTAATACACTCATATGTAGCAGAGGCCATCTTTAGAGACAGTCCTACCAATGTAGGCCTGGAAATTACATATTTTAAACTTAAAAGTGAGTTAAAAAACTGCTTAAAACAAGTTACTATTCCCAGAGGTGTGACGTACTTGTACTAATTTGTGTATTTTAGCATGAATGGATGTCTGTTAGCATTTAGCATCTAGCATCCAGGGCCACAACTATTTTTTTTTTTATTCTAGTAATTATATTACTATTTAATTGTTACAGAAATTATGTTAAACCTTAAAGTTCTGCCCAGTCACACCTTGGAGCATTGAAGGTTACTGTACCTTTGGACCATTGGGCCACAATAATAATTTTAAAGATATGTTTTATAATTAAAGTACCAATGTAGCCTGGGGCTTGATGTCTTCATCTGTGTTTCTGAAATCCTCTGCTCAGGCATGTTCTTCGGTTTAAAACTGTCATACTTATTAGTCATAATGCTGTGGTTTGGCTCACTTTGCCACTCAAATGTTCTCACTTAAGTCATTTACGGTGATGTATTGTTTGTTGCCTTAATGTTATTTTACACATATGTTCCTGATGTTTTTGCACCTGAGTAGTTCTATAATGGAATTTCAACAATTTAGCATTTTACTTTGATACATGGTGAGGTAATCCTGTCTGACCAATCAGCTCGCTGCATCCAGACGGAGCGTCTGCCAGTTGGGCTCCATCCATTTTTAGCCAGCATGACTGAACTCTTGCTGCTTGTGTTTGGCTGAGCTGATATTCGGTACGCTCGGTTTGGATCACAGTCTCTGAAGCTGTGCACGATTGTGCTTTGCTCTCTTGTGATGACATATTTCAGTAACAGCTGTTGCTTTCTTTTTTGGATAATTGGATCATCATAGATTATACTCTAAAAATAACTGTCGTTGTAGACAAAAGCCTTCATTTTGTTTGCTTTGTGTCTTTAATCAGTGGTGTTTACTAAGGGTGTATTCACACCTGTCTTGTTTGGTTCGATTGAATTGAACTCAAGTTCGCTTCCCCCCTTGGTGCAGATCATTTGGGCAGGTGTGAATACAGCAATCTCACTCGTGTGCAGACCAAACAACCACACCGAGACCCAGCTGAAGAGGTGGTCTCGGTCCGGTTCTAAATGAACTCTGGTACGCTTGAGAATTTCTGTCCAATGAATGGATGACCTTTAGCACACGTGTAGTTTTGTTTTGCAATTTCTGGTTCACTTGCAAAAAGGGCAGTGTGAAAGCGAACCACACCAAACAAAAAAAAAAACAACATTGTATTTGGTCCGGACCAAAGCAAGTGAACTAGCGGACTTTCCTGGTGTGAATACACCCTAAGTCAGCCATCAGTATTACTATTACTCATATTTAGGGTTAGTGACCTTAACAAACCCCTAACCAGAAATATTACACAGTTTTTGTCTGGTGGACCTCCATAGAGGTACATTGATGGATTGACCTGAGCCATATTTAGAGACTAGATTATCAGTTTTGGGAATAGACTTTGAATCGGTCTGGTGGTCGACCAGTATAGCTTTTTCTGATGGCCGATGCCAAAATCTTAGGGAGCAGGGTGGTCCATATAAAGTGAAATATGTGATCAGCCTATTTAATCCAGAGGCCTTTAACCCTACTCCTGGAGACCCAAGTTCTGTCTGAAATCGCTTACCGTCTAGTAGGTGCTAGGTTTGGGTTAAAACTTAATTGGCGACCTTTAAAAGTATGTTCTATATAGTATGAATTTGGGAAGTATGAATGAATTTGGACATATTACATCTGCCATGTTGTTACTGTCATGTGATTTAACAGCGTCAGTTGCACCATTTCACTGCCATTCATAAATCCTCTCCCGTGGCCTCATGGGATAGTACAGTGTCCACTGGATGCGCACTTTAGAATCTCGGAAGGTCATCCGGGAACTTTTCACCTACTGTTTTTTGAATACAGTGAATTTGGACATGCTATTCTTTTCACATACTGTTTTCACCTACTATATATTTGGATGCAGCACTGCCGCAAAGTTTAGCTCCAACCCTCATTAAACACACCTGAACCAGCTAATCAGTGTCTTTGGGACCACTTGAAAAATCACAGGCAGGTATGTTATAGCAGGTTGGAAATAAACTGTGCCAGACATTGGGTCTCCAGAAGCAGGGTTTAAGACCAAGATAGTAAATCTTCAGTTTCTTTTTCAGCTGTGACGCAAATGGCAGGGCCAGTGTTAGCACGTTGTGGAACAACTAAGTAGTGCAAAAAAAAATAAAAATTGTTGCATGTACAAGCTGAGTGTGCAGAGTATATGCAGTTGGAAAAATCGGGCTGTACAGTAAGCATATACTGTGACGATGACAAAATTTATATCACGCGCACTGTACACGAACCCTAGTGTACGTGTAAAAATTCTGTGAGCATTAGGGTTGGGTACCGAAACCCGGTACCAATACAGCACCGGTACCTATGTAACCGGTATGTACTAGAACCGAATCAGAACGCAGATTTCGGTGCCTCATTTCGGTGCCATGCCTGAGCGATCGATTGAAATATTTCCTCCAGTTCTCCGAAATGGACGTAAGAAGCATCATCACTGGCACCGCATGTGAAAAATAATTTCCCGACTGAGAAAATGCACGTGAACTCAAGTCAGAAAGCTCTAATAATACAAATCCAACACATCTTTGTAGTAACGAGAGTGTCCATGTTGTTTTCACATTCCGATTTAAAAGCACAACTCGGGAAATGAGAGCATCCGAGGAGCGCGTGAATGCAGTAATTACACTTGCTCTTATTGCAGCAGGTAGCCTTTCGTTAACTAAGCTAAACATGCTTGAATTAAAATGCCTAAAGCTAAACCTCCCTTGTATTCACATTTCTAAACCTGTTGTCCAACAAAAGAGAACATTATAACCGTTTTACTCCAAAATACCAGTCAAATGCTTCCTTTTGTGATCTGATAGGCTTCTTGTCACAGAATGAGGCAGAAAATATGTTCCATA